TGGWGGWKRKTYAARAAAATCTCAGATTATTAGGATATTTTCACATTACTGAGCTCCATGGATTATATTAAACCCATATTAGCAGCATTGCTTTTAGATTTTCTTCATTTTTCAGTTTTAATGTTGGTATCAAATTTCAAAAGACAGAAAATCTTTGTGTATTTATTTGGTCTGAATATAATTTATGTATCTATGTATGTTTTTAACAGTTATCAGTGTCCTACAGGAGGACATTTTAACATGTGGACTGAATAGCTGACCTTAAAGTCACCAGTCTAAGACCAATGATGCTCCAGCAGAGGTCTTCAAACCCACTGTCCTGCATGTTTTAGCTGTTTCCCTGCTTCGGCACACCTGATTCAAATAACTAGGTTACTCAGAATCTCAACAAGCTAACCAAAAGCCTGTCAATCACTGTCATTGCAGTCAGGTGTGTTGAAGCAGTGAAACAGCTAAAACATGCAGGACTGTGGGTTATGAGGAAAAGACCTCTGTGCTACAGAATTGTTTCAGCATCAGCGTCTTCTTATCTTTAAGTAAATGTTTCCCAATCATGTACTTCATGAAGTGAGTAAATGAGAACGACTAAAACAAACTGATGTTAAACTACTTGCATGAGAGTCAGAGAGGAAAATTGTGCATGCCAACTTTTTAGGGTTCAGCTATAAAATAAAAGAAAAGAAGCATAAAGCCAAATCAAAATGAAAAGCATTCATGCAGGCAGGAAACAGATATAAAGAAAACCAACAGTCAAGATACAAACCTCCAACATTAAATTGCTATGCCTGATATAAATAGTTTCACCCTCAAGTCTCTTAGATTTCTTCTGTGGAAAAGGAGGAATAGGGTGAAAAAACTGGTTATAGAAAATACAGGATTAACTCAAAATGTTTTATGTGCCACAGAATATCAGCAGTGATAATGACTGAGGTGATGGACTGTTGACGTGCAGGAATACACAGCTGTTTGCACTTCTCAGTTTGTCCAGCTCAGCAGTAGAAACAGGAGGAACACACACACGCGCGCACACACACACACATGCACGTTTGCACAGCTATCTAATTGAGGACATTCCATTGACTTCCATTACATTTCTACAGCCTAACCCTGACCACAAACCCTAAGGCTAACCTCACAGGTACCTACCTGACCCTAAAACTAATCTAAACTCAACTCACACATTGGTCCTAAACCCAACCCCCAACCCACCAATGGCATTTAAACCAAATAGGGACTCGACTTTTGTCCCCAAATGCACCAGTAGTCCCCAAATGACTGGTGTGTGAGCTGGTTCAAGTCCCCAAAAGTGACTCAAACACACACACACACACACACACACACACACACACACACACAC